TAATGGAGCAGTTAGCCCAGCGGCTGCAGAGCCAACGCTCCAGTCACAATGAGTCTACTGGCTGTCATCAGCGCTCCTCTGCACCCTCAATGCTCCCAGGCCCAACGTTTACAGCTTCTGCGTGTCTCAGCGGCCAGGGAATAAAATTGCTTCATGAATTGGAGCCGTCACTCCTTGTGCGACATTAATTATTTGTTTTTTTGTGAGTTTTTTTTCTCTGTCCCTTATTTTGCCCTATCCTGAGCAGATTGCATTTGGCTTTTGTTATTTAATTTAAGATATGCCATTAATCTAAGCCATTGTTGTGGTGCATGAGGAGAGAAAGCGAAGAAGTAAATGCCAAAATAAACACTTGCTGTGCGGAAAGGCCATGGGAGAGACAACGAGAATAACAACTATTAATGTAGTACTCTTCTAATCAACTTAAACATTGTTTGTGCGCATCAAACACGTTTTTGCGCAAATGATACAGAAGGCAGCTGTGTGAGAAAGAACGAGGCGGTTAAACATTTGGAAACAGACCTGATGGTAATAGTAGGATCAGCCACCGATTACACACACACGGCTGCAAATCTCCATAAAACATCAGACGCTTCACTGCTTTATCCAACACTCCATCTCTCTTCCCCCACTGACCTCTATGAATTTGATACAGGCTCACATGTGCCGCCGCTGGGAGACAATATCAAATCATCTGCGTTAAACACAGCAGCTCCAACAAAGGAGATGCCACAGAGATTATAATTTACATATAACACAATACAGCCACAGACTGTCCTCCGAGCTACAAAAAAATGTGCTGTCTAGGACATTGTCTGGCATACAATAGCCAAACTTCATTCAGTACCTGGAAACCACAATGAGGCTGAGAGGCGAAAGAAAAAGGACTTAATGATTATTGAAAGAGGGCTGGTGAGTGTTGAGCCAGTGTGTTGGTGATGTTTTGTGGAAGGTGGCATTAATGGCATTAGATGTTGACAGACGTCTGTATCGCCGCAGGTAGACACTCAGTGGTCATTCAGAGTTCGATTTTGACATGACAGCCTAGACAGGTAAACACGTCAAGAAAGTGAGTTGAGTCTTGAGTTACGAAAGACAGAGTCTTAGTCATTTTAATGTAAAATCTAATCTTGTTCCACAGCGGGAATGCCACCTACATATTTGAGCTGTTGATGGCTGCAGCTGTTAAAAGCCTGCTAAGTGGGATTGGGGTGGTTTGACTAAATATGAGCTGTTTCCCAAGGCATTTGAGAGATTCTACCCTCATTTGAACATAATACGTGGGGGCTGATGACCAAGATTTTGCTGAGTGCACGAGGGACCTTTCGTTAGGAAGCATTCCTCACCGTCCTTGGCATACATAATGTTGCCGGTTTCAAAAGAGGACTTCTGAGGGTCATATTGTGACTGAAAGGCGATGGCTGATAAGACCAGGCCCATCAGGGCTAATTCAATGGGGCGCAGGAACACCGGTGGCTGTTTCCCCAGGAACTTTCACAACAAACAGTGGTACTGGAACAGTGGGTGTTCAATTAGCCAGCACCTAACATCATTAAACAATTAGACACATCCAAATGAAAACAACCCGAAGCATCGTGCCAGTTAACTCCTCCTCGCAATGTCAGTGTCGTTTCCCAAAGAAAATTGTGCACTAAGAAACCCTGTACAAACAAAAAACCTCCTTATAGTTAAAAGAAATACTATGTTTTGTAGGCAGAAATGAGGTTAAATTGGAGCAAATGGGGATTTGCGTTGAAATCTCCTGCTTCTTGGATTTTTCTCTTTCAGAAAATACCCCAGTAATGCTGCATGTCTCCGCAGAAGGGAACAATGTGTCAAACTGTGCTCTAGAGACTTGCCAAGTTACCAAAGTCTGCAATCAAAAGAGATGTCAATATGAACTCAAAATAAAATAAAATGTAAATATAGAGTCATGATTTCCTCTTTAAGGACCCTGGCTGTTTCCAAGAAGATCTTAACAGTATCTTAAAATGTGCTGATTTAAAAAAAAAATGAAACAAAACAAAACAATTTGAAAACCATTTTTCTTCCTAAAAAGCCTGGATGTCTCTCTTTGATACAAAACATAATTCCTAGTTTCAGAAGGGATTACAACAATGCCTCAAACTGTGCCGAGACTTGCCCAAAAAAAAAATAAAAAATAAAAATTATGCCATCAAAATTGATTTCAGTATGAACTCAAACTAAACAAAGCTAAATAAAAAAAATAAAAAATATATATATATATATATATTTTATCTTCCGTAAGGAGAGTGACACAAAACATAATTCCTGCAGTTTCACAAGGGACTGTAACAATGTCTCAAACCAAGACCCACCAAAATACCAAGTTGTGCAATCAAAAGAAATTGCAATATGGACTGAACAAAATTGGTTTAAATTTACACCCAACATTTTTTCTCTCTAAGGAGCCTGGATGTCTCTTTCTGACATAACAAAATATACAATCTTTAGAAATAACAATACCACAGGTAGCTATAAAAAGGAATTAATTTGAAGCTCTGTAAAAAATCTATTTGTCTGGTTTAAGTGGACTGGTTTAAAGGGACTTTCAATTTTTTATAAGATATCTCACATTATATACACTCTCGCAGTTCTGTGTCCATTGGCTCCTAGAACTGCTACCAGTTTTACTGCCTTTTGGGAAATAATGTCAAAGCCTAGGCCTACATGAGAACGAACTGTATGTTTTTGCTCTGAGCAGTACTCTTTGCATCCCCCCCTCCTTTAAAAAAAACTCCTATTGGGTATTGCTTCATTCAAATACTCTCTAAAATACCTAACACCAGTGAGGAAAAAAAAATCTTAAATCCCACAGACAAGTTCAAATTTGATGTGAAAAGAGGAAGGAAAGAAATAGAATTTGAAGGTGGCCAAGACAGTGGTTTATCAATCGATAAAAACAGTATCTCCGCATCAAAAGGGCTTCATGTCTTACGTTTGAACCCCTCTGGGGATCGGCATGTCCTGCATAGAAAACAGAATTAACCAAGGCAATGTGTCTGCAATCATATCCATTTAGCAGCAACCAAACAGCCTAAAACTATATCTAGACGCCAACTAGCCTCTGATCTTGTGCTTGGCAATGATATGCATAGCTAACTTGTATAGAGGCTATTGCTATTTGGCTACCGCCCAAAGCCAGGACACCATTGCAGTAAAAAGAGAGGAGATGAAAGAACAGCAAATATAATCCAAAGATATCTGATTTCTTCAGAGATTGCTGTACAAATGGTTTCTCAAGGCAAAAAGAGAGGTCATGTTCTTGGCTTTTACCACATTTATCAGTCATCATCTACAGGATTATGACATCTGATAGCACTGATATAACTCTGTAGAGAAAAGCTTCAGTATGGGGCGTCGAATGTAAGATAAAGCATGCTGCAGATAACTGCTCACTTGTACAGTTGTGATTTAGAGTCACCACCAAATCAAAATGGACAATTCTTGTTTTTTATGGAATATTGCAGCGTTTATTATAAATGATTGATCTATGCACATCATTATTTTAAAAAAATTCATGAGCCCTCGTAATCTTTAATCAAAAACATTAATGTACCCTCCCCCTCGCAATGACCCATCTTCTCTGATGTTGTGTTCACCGGGCGATAATCCATCCCCTCCAGCAACCTGTCACTCACATGAGATCAGCAGATGATCCAGTAAGTTCCCAATAAGTCCCACCCAACAATTTTTCTTGTTTGAGAAGCCCTGGACATACATCATAATAGAAAAGATGACTGCAATTTCTGTTTGAGGCTGAATTTAAAAATACATAGCTGATCAAAAATAAATCTAAAGTATTTACAAAGTACTTTTAGTGATATTTTATTTTATTTGCTTAAGAAAGTAGCATAAGATTAATCCTTAAATGAATTCAAATGTGTTTTATGTTTTATTTCAAATGTAAGATTCTGTTTTATTTATATTTTAAAATAAACATTTAGCATTTTAAAATATCAAACTGAATGTTGAATAAGAAAAAAGTTGCTACTGAGGGAGAGCAATTTGTTATATTTTGCAGAAAACTTTTTTATTATTATTATTATTTTCTTTTGGAATAAAATGCACTCATTGATCATTCACAAAATGACATGTAATATTAATGAAAGTAAATAATGCTTTAAATGTTTACTTAACCAAATGTATGAAAACAACATACATAATATTGTTAATGCATGTTTCTGGTATAAACGTGCTGGTTTTTGGACACTTACAGTACATTCAGCTGCTCTGTGTTCAATAAGTCAATGAGGAAAGATGAGTGAGTTCACTGGCCAATAATATGAACACATGTACACTGTCAGAAATAAAAAATGTGCAAAAATTGTACCATTATAGGTAGGCTACCCTCAGTACCCTCAAAGGGACATCTCTTCTTTACCCTTAAGGTAGTAATATATACTCGTATGGTCCCTTAAGGGGTAAATAAGGTAATTTGAGGGTACAGCCCCATTGACAAGCTGTTGTATCCCTAAAAAAAGTAAATTTTTTGCACTTTTTTTTCTGAAAGAGAAACTGTAGCAATGGGTTTGTCCAAGACTCACAATAAGACCATTAAAAATTGCTTAAACCTAGACTCCAGATTATGATCTCTGCTAATATTTTATGACAAAACGTATTTATGTTTATGTTATATATACTGAATTGCACAATTTGGATGACTATTATGAGAACATAATTTGTTTTAAGGTTTGTTTTAACATGGCTGTCTCACTGATATCGTGTGTAAACACCCCTACTGTATAAATAAAACATTGTTTGGATGTTAGGAAACAATGTATGGGCAAAGCAAGACATAACAATCCTTTTCACAAAATCGTACTAAAGGTGCGCAGCCACATAAACTCGAGATTCTTTCAAAGTTATGCGGGCCCCACATTCCACACGTGCACCTTCACCAGCGGGACCTATATCACAGACTCCTGCGTTTGAGCGTGTCGTGTTACCAGCATTTCCTGTGTCTCATATCTGGAACGAACGAACGAACTCTCCAATGGAGCAAAGTAATGCGAGATGGGAGTGGTTCCGTTATGAGGTCACGGTGAGGGACTGAGCTAAACGCTCAGCAGCGAGCGCAAGCGGTAGACATGAGACGGACGCGATAGCTGGAAACATTTATTCACACAGCTGAATGAATCTCTGCTGGCAACAAAAAAATAATAGGACCGCATTTCCTTCGACAGGGAACTACTGAAAAACATCGCGCGTTGGCTTTATAGACGCAGGACAGGCTTGCATACGAAAGACTCCAAGGAAGAGGCGCGTGAGGAAAGTTTTCCTACGCGAAAACAAACTGGACGGAACAGTGCAGAAATCGTGACGCATAAGTCATGCACTGGTTGTACAGCGTGGGATAGTTCTTCTGGTGCCGTTCGTTTGAAGGGGATGCCTTTTTGGTGGCTTTCTTCAACAAAAGTTTGACGCCAGGAACGCCGTATTATTCTGTTCGACAAGAAAACGCGTCTTTCTGAACGGAACATTTCTCGCGCTCGTCCAGAGTCGCTGTTTTCTTCTGTTATTTGTTGGTTTGGCTGGAGGATCCGTTCCTCATCGTGTAGTTTGGGGGACAGGGGGTGGGTTGGATATCTATATTTTTCACTTTTCCTTCATGGCCTCCTCCAGGATGTATCTTCTTATGAAATGCATGCTGATTTTCCAACTTGTGGTGTTGATCGCGAAGAACAGTCGGGCGCTCATTTGTTTGCCCTGTGATAAGTCCAAATGCGAGGAGCCCAAGCACTGTATGGGCTCCGTGGTGTTGGGGATCTGCGGCTGCTGCTCGGTTTGTGCCAAGCAGAAGAACGAGAGCTGCGGCGGCGTTTACGGTCTGTACGGGACCTGCGACCGCGGACTCCGGTGCGTGATCAGACCCCCGTTAAACGGCGGCTCCATCACGCAGTACGAGGTTGGAGTTTGTGAAGGTCTGTATACACATTTCATTTAGTCTTTGAAAAGTTGTCATCCATGTTCATTGCTTCAATCGCGCCTAATGATGGTGAAAATAATTAAATAAATCACATCACTTCTGCCTCCGTCTGTATTTATTGGGGAAACTAAACCAAAGCGGATGTGTTCTGGCAAGCCATTTTAACACTTTATTTCATAAAGCTGACTAATCATTTTGCTGTTTTTACTTATTTTTAAATAGATGTCAGAATATGTATTCAAATAGTAGGCTATCTAGTCATCTAAATTCAGGACCTAGTAATTATTTCATATTAGTGCTAATCATATCCCAATAGTAACAAGTAGGCCTAAGTATTCTATTTTTACTGCTAACAAATTGCAAATATTTCTCTGAATTTTGGAAATCTGTGGTTCAGATATGAATTATTCACTTCTATTTACATTGGTTGCTAGTAGTAGTAGTAGTAGTAGTAGAATCTATTATAGTTACTAGCATACATTCAAGCTTGACTAGATCTTATTTATTGGATACTAGTATATGTTTGTGACACCAGAATATATCCCAGTTTATTAACATTTATCCCAGTAGTTACAGTTCTTACTAGTCATATTACAATGTAATTCCAGCTGTGTATTCCAATTGTAACTAGTTACAATGAACATTATATCATGTAATAGATCATTACTAATAATACATAGTAATAAAGTTGATAATCAGTAACAGTGGAATAGCCTACATACTAGTTGGATATGAATAATCCATATCTGAACCACAAATCCCTATGAACATAGAAAAAATTACCAGTATCAATGAAATTGTTACTTGCTTCTATTGCTATTGTATTTAGTAGATCGTTCATAGTGAGCCTGAAAAAAAGTTTATTTGTCACTATTGGAGTATTTAATTAATATGTAGGTCTACTTGTAACATAAAGCAGATACTTGTTAGCTTTGAAAAAAGTGATAATAAATGTTTAAGCGGCTTGCCACATTATCTGTCCATATGGAAAGGAAAATTAAAGTCTAAAGTATGCTAAATCTGCGATACAATGAGTTGTTCATTATGATGTTAACCTGGTTAACAGTACGGTAGCTCAGCTTCGAGAAATGAAAAACTCCTGAACATTATGTGTCATGATTACAGCTAATTTGAGTGAAACGAACCATTATCAGCTCTCATTAGATATCGTAATGTGATTGTAAAGCCATTATAGAGAGGATATTGTCGGCATGAGGCTGAATGTCTGTCAGCGTTGGTCCTATCTAGTAGACAGGCATACATGACGGTCGTTTGGAGTAGAGTGAAAGAGAGGCAAGCTGGTTAATGTGTTTGCAGGATGTCGGTTTTCCGTTTCTTTGGGGTATGGCTAACGGATTCTGTGCTGTTTTTGGACGTGGTGCCAGCCTCGCTCTTTCCGCCGAGGCTTGTTGGTTTTTCATCGGAATGTCTGCTATGCAACTTCATATGCGCCTCAGCCAGTAGCCTATATTTGACATCGGACCGTCGAGGGACGTGCGCTTCTAATACCCTCAGTCATACGGCTTTGCTTCTCAGGATGCTTTTTACTCACCTCACCTTGATTCAGTTAATTGTGCTGTCAAGCGTTTGTCTTAGCTCAGGGTCTTCTCTGTAGGGTTTTTCTCTCTGTACTTCACATTCTTTTTAATCCTGGCTTAGTACATTTCAGTTTGAAAGGGTGTTTTAAAATCCTGGGTTATGAAGCCCTACTCAAGTGCTTGTTTACGGTGTGAAACCATACGGTGATAAAAGCAAGTTGTTTAGCGTCATTGCCTACCTGATTAAATATTCATGAGCTCTGTAGCTGTTAAATAAACTTTCACTCACTGTTTAGTTTCTGCATCTGAGATAAAATAATTGGAAAACGCGTTAACTGCACAGCGAAGAAAAGAAATTAATTAATAGTTTTTGGAGACTTTGAACAGCCAGAGCCGATTTACGTGACATTTCACAGTTGGAAAATCCTGTTTAAATCTGCATTTGTCCAGTCAATGTTATTGACCTCGTAAATAAGCAAATAAGAATTTAAACCCACAGTTTACAAATATAAAAACAGCTATTCTACGCAGTCAAAATGCAATGAAAATGTTTATCTATTCACAATACTGTCGGAGTGTCAAGCATCAGCCAATTTATCGGCCTGTCATCATTTTTTTAAGTTGAGTTTCTGCTGCTGAAGAAAGAATCAAAACCATACATCTTTACTGAAACTTTGCAGGCTTTGTAAACTAATGAAGCAACTATACCAGAATGTGGTGTCATCTCAAGAGAATAACCCTAGAGATCTAAAACAGGCACAGCAATGATCAAAACTGTCATATTAGCTATTTAGACAGATTTCGAACAGACTGTAACATTTTCTGCATGCTTGCACGATGTATCAGTCTACTTTTTCTCTGAAGAGTCCCATCGCTTGTTAGGCCTAGTCTAAGTTGGAACGCCGGCTTGGTCAGAGGACATGCATTGCAATGTCACGGGTCAGGTTTCAGCATGGCTGGCTATGAAAATTGAAGGCGTCCCGACCGTTTGACATGTAACTGCCGGGGTGACATCTGCTGTAATTCAGCCAAGAAAACACTGCGGCATTGAGTGCCACGGCTACGGCTGTAGTGTTGCTTTCGTCAACGAAAATTATGACTAAATATCGTCGTCAACGAACCTTTATTACGTGACGAAAACGAGGGCTGTCAGATAAATCAGTCAAATGAGAGAGCGCAGCGAATGCCAGTATAGGCCATGTCCTGCTAACCCCCACCCTCACCTCCTAACAAACTAAGACCTCAGAGGGTCTTGACAGTGAATTAGTCTCTAAAGTACATCTGCTGTTGACCGTGCCTGCCGTGAGTCACCATGAATTATGAATATCTCAAAGTTCTCTGTGTTGTGCGACATCAAAGATTTGTACTGGCCTTTAAAGAAAAAGTTCACCCAAAAAGGAAAATTCTGTCATCATTTATTCACCCTCATGTCGTTCCAAACCTGTATGGCTTGCTTGCTTTCTGCTGTATAACACAAAAGGTGAATTTCTGAAGAATATCCTGGCTGTGTATTCAATTAAATGAAAGTGATTGACAGCTGGGGTTAGGCTTCAAAAAGCACCAGTAAAGTGGCTCATATGTGAAGCTGAGTAGACAAAAATTTAAGTCATTATATACGTAAACGAATAACTTTTGTGTTTCACAGAAGAAACAACTACATTGTGGTTTGGTGCGACACAAATGGTGAGTAAATAATGACAGAATTTTTAGGTGAACTGTTCCTTTAAATCGAGCACCACAATCCACAGGGGTGAAGGAGAAAACAACAAAAGCATTTTTCTGTTTGAACTGACCCTACGCTTCACGTCCAAGTCCATAAATTCCTGTGCATTCCAAAGCATGAGATTACTTTGACAGTCTGTTTACAGGTGAACACATACATTCGAGATGATGTGAAGTGTGTGAAGCCGGCTGTACTTGGAGTTACTTTAGGCCTTATCTTAAAGGGGTCATATGATGCTGCTAAAAAGAACATTATTTTGTGTCTTTGGTGTAATGAAATGTGTTTATGCGGTTTAAAGTAGACCTTTATACAACCTTTGCTCAAACTGCGACAATTTCATCAGTTAAGGTGCAGTTCTATTGTTTTAAATCCACTACTTATCACTAATTTTTCAAGAGATATTCAAAATCACAAATGTTTAAAATCTATGATTATTAATTTGTTGATTATTTTTGCTTTGCTATTTTTGCTTTATTGTGGTTTTCTTGTAGAACTGCTTTATAGGTTTTGTTGACATTCATAAGTCTTCTGATGATTAAAACAGATTTTACTAGTGTCAGAAAAAAAAGGTGCCTTGTAAGGCACAGACTGCTCTATTTGTATGAAGCCAGTCAGTGGAAGACCAAAATGGAGCCAGAAATAAACATCTAAGTTGAACTTGAGGCATCTGGAAATTTAAAGACTTTGCATGCTGCTTTTAAGGGATGCTCAATATATTGACAACACTTTTTTTATTTTTTATTATTCATTGGTGTCTGCTGATATTGGAGATTTGATGAATCCTTAAATGGATAGTGGAAAATGGAAATACTGTCATCATTTAACCTGTATGACCTTCTTTCTTCTGCAAAACAACCTTTTTTGTCCACAATTGTTCTAATTGATTCACCTTTCATGTTCAGCAAATACATAAAGAAGAAGAAGGTCATACAGGTTTTGGAAAAATAAATGTTGACATAATTTTCATTATTGGGTGAACTATCCCTTTAAGAGTGCTCTGTTAATTGTGAGTTGATTTCTTGAAAAAAGCATGAAATTTGAAACCAGAAACACAAAATCGTTAACATAAAAAAATAATAATTAATAATTATTAGCACATATTTTCTTAGTTATTTGGTTCTATTGCAGTTTTTAATAGAAATATTTATCCATCTTTCATATTGTAGTCTATAATAGCCTATATTTAAAATGTGTGTAAAATTTGTTTGTAGAATTTCTACATAAGTTTGTGCCTTAGAAAACAACACATATTTACTCTTAGTTTTTTTTTTTTATCGTAAATTACATTTACCTTGCTCTAGTTCTGTTGTGCTGTAAGAAAATAATTTATTAATTTGTGCAGCTGACATCCTTCTCCATGACAACATGCATGGTTGAAATTTTTGACATACTCGCGCTGACCATTTATGCACCTGAGTATATTCACTGAAGCTTCACCTTGTCCAACCATCTGGAATTGGAGCCCTGAGCTTGACAGTTCGTATCCCCAACTGACTGCACCACATTACTGTTAATACAGCATTGGGCTCAAATCATAATCTTCTTGACTAGGAGAAAAGCAGTAGTCTTTATCATTTAAATGGCATCAGACTGGGAAGAATGGAACGTGATTATACACAATCTGTTTGCAGAGAACACCTGGAGAATGAAGTGTGCCTGCTTTTATTAATGTCATCCATACAAACCCTGGACTCTGTCTACTAACAAAGCAACTCTACATTGGCCGTAATCACT